ATCTTTGAACTTAACCTGCAACTGTATCGATGAAGCATTTTCTTAATTTGTGTTTTGGCTACACGTATAGTTATTTGCTCAGTGATGCGTCTATTCTGCCTCCACATTGTTGTCATTTTAAAACCTTGGATGTAATTTATGTGTTTCAGGAGAGGAGCAATCGTCACTACTTTCATTGTATGCTATGCTCTTACATCATTCATTTCTGGTTATGTGAGCGGTGGGATGTACTCACGTCATGGGGGTATGGTTTGTTTTGATACTTCACTTTTCCTGATTTTCTTATCTGTGTTTGTCTTGTTTTATAAACTGTTTTTTTTTTTTTCTTTCTTCTGTCAGGTAAAAGTTGGATAAAGTCAATGATCCTCACTGCTTCCCTTTTTCCCTTTATGTGCTTTGGGATTGGATTCGTTTTGAACACAATTGCTATATTCTATGGATCTTTAGCAGCTATTCCCTTTGGCACCATGGTGGTTGTCTTTGTGATTTGGGCTTTCATTTCTTTCCCTCTGGCACTTCTTGGTACAGTAGTAGGAAGAAATTGGAGTGGTGCCCCAAACAACCCATGTCGTGTGAAGACTATTCCTCGTCCAATTCCTGAGAAGAAATGGTATCTCACCCCTTCTGTGGTCTCAATGATGGGGGGGCTGTTACCTTTTGGCAGCATATTTATCGAGATGTATTTCGTCTTTACGTCCTTCTGGAATTACAAGGTGAATTTCTCTACTTGATTGTTTGAAGCCTTCTTAAAAAGAATTAAGATGCAAAATAAATCCAATAATATTGAAATTTATTGTGTTTCAGTACTTTGATACTGAAATGGGGAAGTGCCATTAAGGCAGATAGTACACCTGTTTAATTACATTTGGCATTATGGAGAATTTTCTTGGAAGTTCATGTTATCCAGCTCTCTTCAACTTTTTTCTGTTTTTCCTCCCTTTTCATAGTAATTTATGGTTTCTGCAGGTATAAATGAGTTCATAAGTTCTATAAAATAAGAAATATATTGTCTTTATTTTAACAAAATATTAAAATTGCTATCGGAAGGTTGCCATTACCCTTGGGTCCTTTGTCTAATTGATTGATTCATGGAGAAAAATGAAAATAGCATTAATGCTGGTATTAGAAGTATTTGAGACTGTCCCTTTTACAGAAGAAGGAAAAGAATAATAAGTAGAGTGGAGTGTATTGTATGTGGTAGGATTGTGCTGCTCTGTCTGCAGTACAACTCAGTTGCATATGTACTTACGTGAAATTCTCTTTCAAAAAATATATATCGTTTTAATGCGGTCTCCAGTCCCTATGCTGTTTTCATACTTACAGTGCTTTTGATGATGATAAATTGTACAAAAAAGAAAGGTTGTATATGAATTTTCTTAAATAAGTAATCGATGTCTTTATTTTATATGTGAATAATTGCAATTTTCTTATTATGATCACAAATCATAAATTATTTTTTGTTTCTTGATGACAGTAGGAATTATAGATTTTTCTTTCTGAGTATTTGATACTATGTTTAACAAAATATTTGTTTTTCCTTTGTACTTCACAGGTGTACTATGTCTATGGCTTTATGCTGTTGGTTTTTCTGATTCTTATCATCGTAACTGTTTGTGTGACAATTGTGGGAACATATTTCCTATTAAATGCCGAGAATTATCATTGGCAGTGGACATCATTCTTCTCTGCTGCCTCAACAGCTGTCTATGTGTACCTGTACTCAATATATTACTACTACGTGAAGACTAAGATGTCTGGCTTCTTCCAGACCAGCTTCTATTTTGGATACACTTTGATGTTTTGCCTTGGCTTAGGAATCCTCTGTGGTGAGTTTGTTTCTTTTTTTTTTTGTCATTCTTATAATATTTTTCTTGCCTTTCTGATGATATCTTTGTTGCAGATCTGTTCTGTTCTATATTAGAAAATTCTCATTTTAGGACTTTTCCAATTGAATGCCTGATTATTTATTGGTTCTTGTTAATAATAATATAGGTTAATCTATTAAAACTTTTGATGTTTTCTTCTTCTCCTTGGAGCTTGTTTTGAAATATTGAAAGATTTGGGGAACTGTCCTGAGTCATATGTGGTTGCAACTCTGACCTGCTTCGAATGATAGGGTATGATTTTGAAAGTTGGAAATTCTTTTGGAATTTTCTATTGAACAAAATTGTTAAATATCTTACTTTTTGAAAAATAACCCCAAAAGACACAATCTGTTGTGTTGTTCCTTAAAGTGGAGTTTAGGGCTCTTTGATTATTTCACGGAGCACATAAAAGTGGGATTCACTCTTGATATGTGGTTGATTTTATTGCTTGGCAACTTTCTGAAAAAGAGGAATGAGATTTGAACACCATACATTTAGAGGTGATTGCAGAATATCATCTTGCTCGGCCCTGCCTCCCTTCCGTCCAATATATGTTCTCTGTTCCGTGAGAATGAAATTTAAACTTAAACTGATTGCGGTATTGGCATCCTATCAAGAGCATTGAAGTTTGTTTCTAAGGAAATTAAAGAAGTTCAAAAAATGAAGCCATTTATCTTTGACCCTCATGCAATTGGTTATTTGGTTGCTGAATGGGGAACTGTGATACTATGATTTCTAGACTAGCAATTGGTTTTTAGGTTGCTGAATGGGGAACTGTGATACTATGATTTCTAGACTAACATGTAGCACGTCTCTCTTTTCTGCTTCTCATTTGTTTGATTGGTCTCTTTGAATGTGCAGGAGCTGTTGGTTATCTCGGTTCCAATTTGTTCGTGAGGAGGATTTACAGAAACATCAAGTGTGACTAGAGCGTTGCCGATAAAAATAGACCCGATGGTGCTTACCTGAGTGGTTTTTGGTTGTTTACACAATAAAAATATCGAGAAGAAGCATCGGGCTGTATTTGGGGGGGGTTGGGCTTCCAGCATTTACAGATGAAAATCTCAGGGATAGAGGATGGGGGGATTTAATTCTTTCTCTGGATAAAAGAGGAAGCCCTGAGATTTTTCTAATTTTTTTTCCCCGGCTGTAAGTGAAAGCCTTAATTTAGAAGAAATTCAGAGATTGTTTTTTATAATATGGGAAGCCAGTAGCAATACATTAGGGACAACTATCTTTTTTTATTATTTTTATTATTTTTTCTTTTTCTTCTTTTCTTCCCTTTACAATATTATAGGTGCCCCTTTGTAAGGAGAGGAAGAATGTCTAATTTCCCCTTTGAATTTGTTTTGTTTGCATATTTTTGAACTTTTTAGGGGAGAATTTGAGGAAAAAAAAATTGAATTGTGTTCTAAAATTTTATGTCCAAATCCATACTAATTGTTTTCATCTCTATTATGCATTATGTTGAGCCTTTCCAAAATTAAATATATATTAACAATACCTATTGTTAGATTTATAAGTTAAATAAAACATAGATCATAAAAGGTATTCTTAAAATTTTGTTAATGAAACTAAATAAATAAACAATTAAAGGTCTTATCACGTGGCTAGTTTTAATGTAAACATCTCTTTACGGGTCATTAAAATAAACCATTAATTTTGTGGTCAGAACTCAGATGGTAAGATTTCCACATTTGTGATTTGTTTGGTCTATTGGGTTTGTAGTGTATTTAATAGATTTTAATTTGTGATTTATTTATCTTAATAGATTTGTAGGATGTTCAATAGATTTTGAGGATTTGTTGAAATGTACGATACTTCAGTTATAAAAATAAATAATGTAATGAAAATTTGGCAACAGATTATCACTGGACACTGAGTTGTCATTTTTCGAATAATTCAAAATTTTTGTAGTTGTTTTTATCATAAAAATGTTGTGAGAGGATTATGAGAAACTTTTCGACCATAGGCCTCGTTAAAGTGGTGACGTTGGTCCAATACATTTAAATTAGCACCCACTTCAGAATATGACACATAATCAGGAAGAGTTAACCTAATTGAAGGGGATCCAATGCCGGAGATGAAGGTAACCTTACCTAAATCAAGTTGTGTAATAAGGTAGGGTGGCTTTAGAAGTCCAAAGAAAGTTAAAAAGAGACATGTACAATAACCCAAAAAGAGTAGTTCACAATGGGATCTGCCTGAGAAGGAAATGACATTTGAGGAATTGTGGTGTAGTTGATGACAAGTGGTGGGATTTTCATCAGTTGAATTGGGATCTATTTAGAGGTCATTATGTTTTGACATTGATATCTTTTTTTATTTTGTGCCTCTAATTTGAACCCTAATTCTGTGGTCATAGGTCCTTTTTAACTAAGGAAACCAAAGACATTAATTTAACTCCCACTTTTTTTTACTTTCTCAAAAACTCTCTACATATAATGTAATTGATTAACAATATTATAAATATAAATAAATAAATAAATGTTTAAAGTAGATAGAAGCTAAGTATTAATACTCAAACCCAAATAAAAAAATACATTTTTTTTTTTTTTTGAATTGCAAGGGTCATTTGTATAATTTTATACCATAATTATTTTAGAATCAATCTACTAGGAGAAGGAAAGAGTAATATTACACATTTAAGTTTTTTTTATTTTTTTTATTTTTTTATTTTTTTTTATTTTCATATCAAATTACTCTTATCTATTTTGTTATGATATTAAAATATTATAAAAAATTTGAAATAAAATTTCATTTTAAAAAAAAAAATCCCATATTCCTCCAATAAAATGTCAAACAAAAATGCAAAAATCTTATAAATATTTGTATACAAATAAACGTAACGTAAGATGAATGAAAGAATGAATATAAAAAATCAAACCCATTGTATTTATTATTATATTTATTTTTTTCATATCAATTTATATATCTTTATAAGATTTGTTTATTCATGTAACGTTATTTAATGTCAAATCCTACCTCTTTACACACCCAGAACGCGGCAACCACATTCACCTATAAATAAAAATTCAAATGGTGATAATAAAAAAGATAATGTTAGTCACAACATCTTGCCACGTGGCAGATAGGAATTTCTAGCCACACTATTTCCACAAGCCTGCCCCATTAACGACACTACATCTCCCTCCAACTCTCTTAGTTTTCCCCAAACCTTCCATTTCTTACATTTGCCCCCAACACCAGCACTCCCAAATGGCCTCCACTCTCTCTAGCGCCATGTTCAGCACCTCCTTCGTCCGCTTCCAGCCGTCCGTCACATCCCTCAAGTCCCTCCCCAACATGAGTCAGGCCCTTTTCGGCCTGAAAACCAACCACTGCGGCGGCCGCGTGAAGGCCATGGCTTCCTACAAAGTGAAGCTCATTACTCCTGATGGAGAGCAAGAATTTGATTGCCCCGATGACGTTTACATTCTTGACCAGGCGGAGGAGCTCGGCCTTGATTTGCCGTACTCTTGCCGCGCCGGCTCTTGCTCTTCTTGCGCGGGAAAAGTCATTGAAGGTTCAGTGGATCAGTCTGATGGGAGCTTTCTTGATGACGATCAAATTGATGTGGGTTGGGTTCTGACTTGTGTGGCTTATCCTCAGGGCCCTGTTGTGATTGAGACTCACAAGGAAGAGGAGCTCACTTCTGCTTAAAGTTGAATGTGGTTTTAAGATTATTTATTTATTAGAATCTCATGCATGTGTGTTGGTTGGATTTAGTGTTTTGCATTAAGGGACATTGTTGATCGTTGTGTAATGTTTGAAGAGTAACTTAAGGGTTTTCGTACTTGAGTTTCATTTGTTGTCACAAATGAAATGAAGCTGTTGTAGCTTAATAATGTCATATCTTTTCCTCGCTGACCTTCTTGCCTCTGCTTCTACTTTTATTTCTTTCTCTGTGGTTTTGTTGGTGGGGTTAGGCTGAGGGTGGCCTTGAAAGTGCTTCTTTATGAAGCAGCATCAAGGTTAAGTTACTCAGTTTTTTTTTTATTTTTTGCTTTTGGTACTTTCAGTGTTTTCCAGTTTATACTGCTATAAAATCTAGTAAAAAATTAATCGTCGATTATTTTTAGTACTTAAAAGTGCTTCTTTACGAAGCACCATCAGAAACACCAGCAAGGGTTGTGTTTAAAAGAACACTTCTAGTAGAACAAGTTACTCATTTTTGTATGTACTTTCTCCGTTTTTCAGTTTACAGTGGTTTTCATATTGTAAAATATCCGTTTTTGATTATCTTCCAGTACTTGAAAGTGCTTCCACTAGGGTTGTGTTTAAAAGGAAAACTTCTGGTAAGCTAGTTAACAATTATTTTAGGACTTTCTGTGAGTCTTTAAGCTTACAATGTTCTTAATCTTGTCAAAAAAGGACTTACAAAAATTCAAAAGTGTTTTTATCCATGAATTCCCGGAGTTGAATGTGATGCTTTTTCCCAGTAATTATGAGGTTTTTATTCCAAATATGAAGCATCCGCAGTCAACCATGAAGCAAGTGTTTTAATCTTGTCAAAAGTTCATTTTTGATTATTTTTAAGTACTGAATTGAAAGTGCTTTATTAAGCACTGTCAGAAGCACCAGCGTCAAGTGCTGTGTTTGAAAAGAAGAATACTTCTGGTAAGTTACTAAGTTACTTATTTTTGAAGTACTTTCTGTGTTTTTCAGTATACAATGTTCTTAATCTTGTCAAAAAAAGCACTTTTTCTTATTTCAAAGTGATTTTATCCTTGAATTCCCAGAGATGAATATGATGCTTTTTCCCAGTAACTATAATGTTTTTGTTCAAATATGAAGCATTCATGCTCAACCATGAAATGCAGCAATGAATCCAAGTCCTTCGCAATATGGTTACAGAACTAGGTACTCTAACATTGAGTTACAGCTTAGTATAAATTTCTTAATATTTTAACTGAATTCATTAGCAATGATCAGGTTGGTTTATAGATAAGATAACAAATAAAAGGTCCAGTTTTCTTTGTTTGAGATAAGTGGAGAGTGAAATAAAGAACATCTTGCAGTGGAAAACAAACCGCTAATTCTTATAAAGAACATTATAAGATGAAAATGCTGCCCAAATTCATTGCCATTTCTCTGTAACTTTCTTCTGTATCTTAGAATTATGAATAAATAAAAACCTATTTTTATGGCTCATACCAATGTGGGTTAAGAAGTTAAGGCCAGGCTTAATAATTAGAACCTTCCAATACAAGATTATTTTACACCATTCATTGTGCATTATCCGTATTCCAAGCAAGTTGGTTGCACATTTTAATGCTATAAATGAAGCCTAACTGATAAGGCTATCCAAAAATTATCTGAACCGAGAAAGGATAATGTTTCAGGTCTTCTGAAATAAGTCATAAAGAGTCTCAGCTTTCCCTTCCTCTCCATTACCTGTACTACCTTCTTCATCAGTAATGAGAGGTTCTAAGGCATTACTGTTTATAGTATCGGATAAGTACTCTTGCACTCTAAATGACAATTCAGTTTCAGGATGTTCGGAGGTCTGAAGAACGGACTCTGCCTGTTCAGTTGATGTTATAGTTACTCGATTCAGTGACTCCATGGAAGAACTCCTAGATAAAGTACCGGATGCCACCATTATTTCATCTCTTTCGTCGATTGTTGATTCGAGTGAGCATATAGATCTTGTAGTGCGTGAATGCAACGAGTCATATTTTGAACTCTCCTTTACTCTCTTACACCATGGAGCGACTCTCTCACACTCTCCGCCACCAGAGCTTTCTTCCCTTGAGATCCCATCTGAATTGGTCAAAGAGCTATCAGCTTAGAATCCTAAAATTACAAGAGTTTAAAATGAACTCATATTTATTCCTTAGTTAGATACATAAGCTAAAGCTTCAATAAGCACACCAGAAGATAGAAGTTTGTATATTGCGAAACATGTATAGCATAGATGTACTATTTCAATTCAAAAATGCCAATTTAATTTTAGTATCAATATTTGTTTGTAAAAGTTGTTAGGCAAATCTCTGTCACAATCACATTCAGTGGCACTGTGCTGTAGCTGCACCAGAACTGAACAAGAACCCTGCATTTATTAAAATAAAATACATATATAAGATGGTTTTTGCCATCTAAAAGTACATATAACTAATCTGTTTGCGCATTATATATATCTAAAAGAAGGTATTTTTTACTTTGAGCCGTGTACCTTAGCTCTTTACCGTGTTAAAGGATCATTTTTGCTTCACGCTGATAGCATCTCATTATTTATGTACATAATTTGCTCTCTCAACATAATCATGAACAAAAGCACAAAACGTAATTTGTGTAAATCGTTGCAAGAACCACTGAGAAAGTTGAAGAAGAGTATATTCTTATAAACAGAGTAGTTTTCTGGAAAGCACATGTTTTCAAACAGAGATAGATTGCTACGAGAAATTATTTCTATGAGATGAGCCAATGAGGGTGATTATCTCAAAGAAAAATGATAAACAAAGTGAAGGACCAAGGCATGGAATACTAATACTAGCAGCCAAGAATTGTGAATCCAGATAAAATAATTGTCTTATTTCACTGGCTTTATACTAATTGATATGTTGAAATTACAGTAAGATCCATCGCATTATACCAAAAACCAGCAGAAAGAAATAATATTCATATGCACGAGCCAAATTAGTAGCATAACTGAAAATATATCATATATTTTCATGGAAGTACATAGTTAAGAAGGAAACGTACCCAGAAGTCAATCGAATGATTATCATATAGTGATTTTTCAAGAAGCATGATCTCTCCTCAAGTCCCCACTAAACAACAGAAAATTACAGATTCATTACCATTTGCATGTTCTGGGATTAATTGTGAAGCACAAAATGGTTTATGTACTAGCCTTATAGTTATGTAATCTGTGAGTCATTGTTAATACATCGTCTATTTTAAGCAGTTCATTGACTGAAAACTATCAGTTAAAGATATTTGGTATATATCGGCTGTACATAAAAGAGGATGTAAGGTGTTAATCATGTCATTTATTTGTCTTTTTTTTTTAAATACTTAAAATAGCACGAGAATGCCGAAACTGAATATTAGTACGACATATGCAAATTATATGCTGACCAAGGATTTCACAAGCAAGCAGAACCACAGAGAAAGAACGAGTATACACTTACCAAGGACCACGTGAGTGTTGCCATCTCGAAGGCATTCTGCACGAATAGGAAAGAAATGAGGATGACAGTCAAATGTGGATGAGAATCTGGATATGTGAATGAAATAACACAAGAAATAATCACCTGGAATATAAAATTGAATCAATCGCAAAGAAATCACCGGTTTTCTAAACCAAAATAGATCATCACTTGGCTTTACTTGAGTCCCAACAGGTGGCCCTGTTTGTTCTTTAATTTCAAGGGCCAATGAGGAGACAACATGCTGAAGCTTTGTTCTAACTATTGAGTTGTACAAATCTGTTGAGTTGTACAAATCAAATGTTTTAGGAATAGGATCTTTAGAATAGGAAATTAGATCATTTCCTTTCCTAGTTTAGATTATTTCATTTCCTTATATGGACTATTGAATGTGTATATATTGTTGCATTTTGCTCACAATCAATATCAAGAAAATTCTTCTGATTTCACCTGGTTTCAGACCTAAGAAATCAGAAACCCTAGAAAAATTTTCTTTTCTTTTTCCGATGATATATTTTTTTTTTTTTTTTCGGGCGAAGTTCAGGCTATCTCCTTCTGGTGTTGAATCACTATTCTAACCACACCAGGTTGTTCGTCTTTTCCTCGCCAGCAAAACCTGAAAATTTCATTGCTAGTCGCCACCGCACACGTCGGTCTTCTTTCCGGTAGCTTCTTCTCCGATCTCCTTCTCCGACGAGCGTGAGGTCTCACCGCCGGCACTTGTGCACTCAGACACCACTGACAAGCACACCCACCACCGTCCGACTTGCATTGTCATCACCGGCGTCGAAAATAGCCCACTACCATCGAAATATCCTCTTTTTTTCGATCTGCCCAGAATCAGTTTTGTTTTTTTAGCCCAGTGTGCACTCAGACACCACCGGCAAGCACACCCACCACTGTTCGACCTGCATTGTCATCATCGATGCCGGAAATAGCCCATTACCGCCGAAATATCCTCTTTTTTCCGATTTGCCCAAAATCAGTTTTGTTTTTCAACCCAGATTAGCTCAATCTCTTCCACAAGACAATCATGCTCCCTGAAGGATCCAACACCAAATCAGGTTCTGTTTCTTTTTTGTCTTTTCCTCTGATCACAACTGAAAAATTAATAGGCAGCTCCATTTATTCCTCATGGGTTGCCTCTATTGAACTGTGGTGTATAGGACATGGTCTGGAGGATCACTTGACCACTAAGGCTGAAGATGTCACGGATGATAAAACTACCTGGGTAAAGATAGATGCTTTGGTATGTGGTTTATTATGGCAGTCTATTGACCCTCACCTTCATTCTACTTATAAAATATATCGAACTTGTTTTGATGTATGGCGACAGGCCAAATTGCTTTATACTAATGATATCCAGAGACTCTATTATGTTGTGTCCAATTTGGTTAATCTCAAACAACAAGATATGGGCATGTTTGACTTTCTTGGCAGGATGGCCTCTCTCAAGGCAGAATTTAATTTGTTATTACCCGCTGGCAAGTCTGAAGCAGAAGATCTGACATAACGAGACAAATTCTTTATGATTCTTACTCTTGCCGCTATCAGTCTTGCTCTTACTCTAGTACGAGATCAGATTCTGGCAAGTGCAACTGTGCCTTCTCTTGATGAATTTTTTGCTCGATTACTTCGAGTCTCCTCCCCTAGTGTTGTGGTTGGATCTTCCCCACTTGATTCTTTTGTCTTGGCCTCTCAGTCTCAAACTTT